ATCTAATATGCGATAAAGCTGGCACTGTAAGTCAAAAGCAGAAAAATTGACATTCATGAGAAAACGGAGTCTTCATGTGGATAGAAGTGAAACTGGATCATCATGAAATACTACACACAATGGTAGATAGGAGTGGATTAGAAACCTCAGTGTGAAAGAAAGCATTCTGAAGCCAAAATAACCCAAAATGTACATGCTTATCTTTGTGACATGGGTCAGAAAGGCCTGTTTTCGTCCTTTTTTTTTTCTTTCTTTCATTCATTTTTGAGAGAGCAGAGAAAGAGACAGAGAAACAATCTTAAGCAGGCTCTATGCCCAGTGGGGAGCCTGACATGGGGCTGGATCTAATACCTATGAGATCATAACCTGAACTGAAATCGAGTTGGAAGCTTAACTGACTGAGTCACCCAGGCACCCTAGAAAGGCCTTCTTTAAAACACAACCTGAAAATCATAAACTAGAAGGTGAAAAAAAAAAAAAAAGAAGATACATTTCAATATGTAAGAAGGCTTTACAGTCAAGTAAGAATATCATACAGAATACACAGATGACAAGGTTATAAAATGTATTTAAAATGTCTACAACCAACAAAGGATGAATATATAAGATATAGAAGAAACTTTACAAATCAACATAAAAAATGGCAAATTAAATAGAAAAAATGAGTGAAGGACACAGGCAATAAACAGAAGAGGAAACCCAGTCAATAGGCACATGAAGAGATGTTCAAACATAGTAATTATCAGAGGAGTCCAAATTTAAACAATAAGCTATCATTTTCTATTTATATGGTTGACAATAAATTAGAAAGCTGAATAATGGCTACAGTCGGCAGAAATGAAGAAATTCTCGTGTAGGGCTAATGGGACTGTGGACTGACCACTCTGGAGAAATACTCCCTCAAACTAGGTATACACACACCCTCTGACTGGCCAACAGCTCTCCCCATGGGTATATTTCAAAGAAGTTCTCACACAGGGAGATGTACAAGATGTACAAAGATGTTCACTGTGGTGTTGGTGGTGGTCATGAGGAGGTGGAAGCATGAGAAGATGGAGTGTGCAGCTCTGTAAAAACAAATACACAGTGTTACAGACCGTGGCGACGCAGCAGACAGAAGCCACAGTCTAGAAGCAGACAGAGGAATGGGGATGGCCCCTAACATAACGCTGAAGAAGCAAAGAAAAAGAACAAGACATATTATAATTTATGTAACTTAAAAATACAGGTAGATAAAAAATACACACTGCTCAAAAAAACATTTTCAAGTGCACATTAGAATGGTGGTCTTCAGACGAGGAAAGAAGTAACAGTTGGGAAGAGAATTAAAAGGGAATGAATGAATGAATGAGTGAATGAATGAACAAATGAAGGGCCCTGTGATGATCCCAGGCCACAAATCAGGTAGTAGGATTAATTCCACCCCCTACACCTGAGATTCAAATGGAGACTAGAGAAGAAGAGAGGAAAAAGGCTCTCAGAAGAAATGTACGTTTGTTTATCTGCTGATCCTCTCCCTGACAACTGGGCCATTTGGAAAATACCAGCAGCCGACAGGCATTATTTATGGCCCTGATACCCCACAGGCACTGTATGCCCTGAGAGGAACCTGAAGATGAAAACAATAAATTCAGAACTGTCCTCAGAGGAATTACATTCTGGCTCTGGGATAAAATGGTGGTATTCAAACTCCCATGGAAACATTTTCCAGAAAGGAAAATGCTAGCCATTTAGAGTTCAGATATTCAAGGCGAAAAGAGTAATGCCACACTCTGAAATTCCTATCAGATTGACTACCCTCCATAACAGTTTCAACTGTGGTATAGACAGACAGGGAGTTGCTGAACATTCAGACCCTGCACAATAGCGCCACCTGTGGCAGAGGAGCCCTCTGGACGGAAGTGGAGTGGAAACGAGAATTAACTTCAATCCACAGATATGAGAAGTACAACCACATCAGAAAGGAGGGGAGGCTAAAGCATTTTGTGATGCGAAAAGGGGGTCCCCATGCCGGAGGAGGTGAGAAAGCATTCATCTAGAACCCTACTCTGGTTTTGAGAGCTTGAACATAAGTGAACAGAACAGTTCTTGGAAAAGTACTTTAAAACATCACTTCTATCCAAACTACTCCTGGAAAAGTGGCCAATATGTTTTAACCCATCTTTTTTCTCTCCAGCTTGCCAAATGAAAGGGTAAGCAATTGAAAAATCATTAGACACTTCAGGCAGCCAGCTCTCTGTACTCTGAATAATGGGATGCCAAGAGCAAACTGTTGCAACGGTCTGTGTTCTCCAAAATGGAACTTCTTGTAATTGCTCTTTTCTTTGGGAGGCAGAGTATCCTGTGGTTAACAGTAGAACCTCTGGAGTTACAGAGAATCCAGATTAAATTGTGCCCCCTGACTTTATTTGCTTCAATTTCCTAATACACAAAGTAGGTCAAAGGTACCTATCTCACACAGTGTTTCAAATATTAACTAAGCTCATATGCTTAAAACATCCTTAAAGATAGTAAGTGGTGGATCTATTAATGGCTATGATTTTAAAATATATGCTCACTGCAGACAATGCAAAGCATGGAGAAAAAAACAGAAGGTCAGTCCCTCCCAATAATCTACCCTCTCTCCAAATGAACAGTTTCATGATAATCGTCTTTCCAGACTTTTTTCTATCCTTATATCTAGATGAGTTAAATAATTTACTTTACTAAGAACACTGCTCTGTAACCCGATTTTTTTAAACCTCAATTAACAACATAATGTGGGCACCATTTCCACAAGTACACGTAGATTGCTTTTGTTGTTTTTAAAGACTACACAGGGCCTTGTTATTTTTAATCAACTGCCTAGTAGACATCCGATTGTCTCCCTGTCTTTATTATTACTGCCAAAGCTCCGCTGAACTTCTTTGTTGCACAAACATTTTCATACTCTCGTCTATTTCCTTAGGACAAATCACTGGCTCAAAGGATACTGGCTTCCAAACACATAATCCCCTAAAGTCTTACAGAATGCTATAACCAGATGGCATGCCCCCTAATAAAATCAGGGTCATCTTTCAAATCTATGGGTCCTTATCTCAACCAGAGAGGTTTATCACAAGTCACAAGCAAACTTCTGGGTGGTGGTCTCCATTCATATGCATCTCATCTCCCTCAGTTCTTGGGTCCTTTATTACAGAGTAGGGTGTCCCAGTGTGGGGCATGTTATAGGCATGTTATTTTGGTCTGCGTGGGCATCCATCTTCTCTTGTTCTGGTGGGTTCCCTAATCTCCCTCTGGCAAACTACTCTGCTCCCATTTTATGCAATACTCTTAAAACTGTCATTGACCATGTGCTGTTTTCCCCCGATGAGGCCAACTTAGACCAACCTGTTGTTATCATTCCTGACAATCTGAATCTTCAGACAAGTGAGGCAACTACTAAAAACAGTTTAGACCTTCATCCTCAGGCAATTATTATTCAGAAGACCCTTTCTTACTTGTTCCTGGGGCTCCAGACCTGGTATGTTTTCAAGCCTAGTTCTTTAGTTCTTCCTCCCTTACAGTGAGTTACTCTACGGCCTTCCATATTCTTTCATTTTTATGTGTGTGGTTTTTGATACTGTTATTTTTTTAATGTTTATTTATTTATTTTGAGAGACAGCAAATGCATGCATGAGCAGGGGAGGGGCAGAGACAGAAGGAAAGAGAACCTTAAGTAGGCTCCATGGCCTGCACAGAGCCCGATGTGGGGCTCGATCTCAGGACCCTGGGATCATGACTTGAGCTGAAATCAAGAGTTAGACGCTCAGCTTACTGAGCCACCCAAGCGCCCCTGCTATTGTTATTTTAGAACAAGAGAACCAGGCTTGATTTCAGATACACAAAAACAATCCCAACTGAGGATACAGAGAGGGGAAATAAAAGCACTTGTCTCCTTGAATATTTCCTTGAAAAAATGTTCCCTTATTCAATTCTTGAGGGAAAAACAAAAACTAAAAACCCTTTTTCCTCCCTGAAAGGCCTCTTAACCTACCAATAGCAAACATTCCAAATTACTTAGTATTTTATATAAAACTGCTGGTCACAATCTGTATTTTGGAAAGAACGAAAGGAAAATCTCTTTCCTTTAATGGATTTCACACACAGAGAAATACCTCATCCTTTTGTCCACACGGAGAGGCCCTGTTTTACTGATTTTTTTTTGCTATCACTGGAATTCATGGCAGGACTATCTTCGAATTTGTCTCCAAGTGGATTTTACAAAGCAAATTCGAGGCAAGGGGACAGAGGGATTTCCTCTGCACTCTTGTCAGCAGCCTGGAAGGAACTGGTTCATACTTCTATGCACCAAGGTATCATCAGTCCAGTGGCTCTTGCAGTAGCTTTTCATTTTAATCCCATCATCTTTACAAGGTTACAGGTGCCTTTGGAAATTATGAGTAACCAGAGTGCTCAGAGTCAACAGTAGGGGAAATGATATTCTACAGAGACTGCCCAGGGTCACTCCCATTAAAGAAGAATATTATTACAGTTTACCATCTCTACTCTTTCCTCTCCAAAAATTTAACAAAGAAGACAGAGTTACTATGCCATCATTAAGATAGTTTGTTGCTTCTCCAGTCCTTTGCACAAGAACAGGTAGGGGCCAATTGTGGCTTTCCCACAGGACAAGGTTCTTGCGGAGCTGTGTATTATTCAATGAAGTGGCTTTTAAATGGTGATTGGAGCTACATTCTCAAGAACTAGGATTAACTGAGATAATATACATGAAAAGGCTTTGTGAAGTGTGAAGGGTTATGTAAGGCAAGGTGTCATTACAGCCTTGCCAGTCAAGCTCACTGAATGCCCTGGAGTCATTGACCTGGTAAGTCAGCTTGGAAGTACCTCTCTTTGAACTTGGGAAAAGGGGCAGACCCAACATGCCCACAGCACCCCCTGGTGGCTCTTCCTCAGAGCAGCAACTTTTAAAGCTCCGACCCAACCCCAGCTGTGGGAAATTATCCAAGGGACATACTTACTCCCTTCGCTCTGACTGTCTTTGTTGGAGTTGTAGACCTGGAAAATAAAAATAAACACTTACTTGTGTGCATTTTATACCACCCCACAGGTTCAATGAAGAAAATTACAACCTGCCCCTCTCCCTACTTGGATGGAAGGCAATTTGTGGCTCCCTAATATTAATCCCCTCTAAAATTATCTACTGCCTAGTATTTACTTCAGCTGTTCTCAAGGGTGTTTACATCAGAATCACCTGTGGAATTTTACCATAAAAAATCAAAGATCATATTCTTTAGTAAAATTGTTTAATGTTTATTTACTTTTGAGAGAGAGAAAGAGAGAGAAACAGAGCATGAGCAAGGGAGGGGCAGAGAGAAGAGAGACACAGAATCTGACGCAGGCTCCAGGCCCTGAGCTGTCAGCTAGAGTCCGATGCCAGGACCTAATTCAAGAGCCGTGAGATCATGACCTGAGCCAAAGTTGGACAATTAACCAATGGAGCCACCCAGGTGACCCAAAGATCATAGTCTTAAAAGAAAAACAAAACAAGAAAAAAAAAAAAAACCTATGTGTGTATATAAGTCAAAAAGAAGAAAACTTTTCAATAGTTACAATCATTAAGCATTTACTGTAAACCAAGCCATGTGCTGAGCACTTCACATGAATTATCTCAAATTATCTAAGTAACAATTCTGTTGGGTAGGAATTGTTATCACTGTGTTACAGACGGAAAATTGGGAACTGAGAGAGGTTACCTAAGGTCTCACAGCCAGTAAATAGCAAAGTCAGGAAAAAGATACAGTATAAACTGTTAAGTATTAACAGCAGGGAATAGGACCAATCACATTTTACTTGATAGACTTGTTGAGATTTCACTGTTGTTAAGGAGAATATGCGAATTTCACAATATAAAACCCTTAAGTGATTCACCAAAATCATAAAAGGGAAAGTGCTCCAATACAGAAAAAGGAAAACTACTTCAATATAAAACAGACAATATGACATATTGTAAGAGTCTGCAAGTTTCTTCTGGGAAGAGTCAGAAATTAAGTATTACAGGCTTTATAGGCGAAGATACAAAATCAATATTATGTAGGTCCTTGTTCATAAAAGAGAAAACTAATTTCCACAAATTTTTGGTTGACATAATTTTAAATATAGCAAGTTTTTGAAATACAGATACAATATCCCTTGCAGGGCTTCAAGGCTCTCTTTTCAGAAATGCTCAGCTCAATACCTCTAGAGGTTTTAAGTAAGTAGTTCTCAGTGGCCATGTGGAATATCTTTTCCAAGGAGTGTAATTTTTTGAAATTATACTGAAATTATATGGGTGAAATTGATCCAATCAGAAGAATGAGGTTTTATTTGTTTATTGGTTTTAATCAGGGACAATAACGTTGGGCTTAATTAGAGGTCAAAGTTAGTATTTCCCATCAAATCAATTGTAAAAGTTCATCTATAAATGCTATGCTTAGTTCATTGCCAATAAAAAAAAAGCAGGTGATGTGCTGGGTTTGGCCTGTAGGGGAGTTTGCCAATCCCTGATATGGTGACATTATTAAGTAAGGTAAATCCTCTGCTTTGGTGGGGAGGGGGATCATAATTTTCCAAATCTTTCTTTGGTGATTATTACTCTGTATATATGAAAAGGCATAAATAAAACTGGTCATCATAAGTATGTATGCATGTACACATGCATGTATGTATGTATCTGTCTGTCTGTCTTTTCCAAGGGATCGTGATGGCTATTCATGGCTGAGAACCACTTATTTAAGCCATGGAAGTATGTAGCCATTAAGCCATGGAAGTATGTAGCCAAGCACCTCTAAAAAGAGAGCCATGGTCAAGAGCTTTCTAACTTGGCCCCTCAGTTACCTCGTGTGTTTTGGTAAAGCTATCACCCTGTCTGGGCCTCTATGGCCTTTTCTGTAACTTGAAGGAGTTGGCCAAGAAGGCTTTGAATGATCAAACTCTAAATAAGACAAATTACTCCATTATGACTGATTTCCTAAAGAAGACTAAAGAGGCACAGCCAGTATTTGAAAGTCAGGAGAACGAAAATTAAAGAAAAGGGTTTCTGTATTTGAGGCACATTGTGTGGCAAAAGAAAAGGCATCACTTTTTATGCTTAGAAGTTCTAAAGATGAGGGGCGCCTGGGTGGCTCAGTCGCTTAAGTGTCCAACTTCAGTTCAGGTCATGATCTCACTGTTGGGGAGTTCGAGCCCTGCATCGGGCTCTGTGCTGACAGCTCAGAGCCTGGAGCCTGCTTTGAACTGTGCATCTCTCCCTCTCTCTGTCCTTCTCCTGCTCATTCTCTCTAAAAAATAAAATTTTTAAAAATGTTTAAAAAAAGGTTCTGAAGAGCCAAAAGACCGTGATTCTGGTGCACGGCCTTCAGGAAGGAGAAAGAAGAGTGTAACTGGCCATCTGTGCACAGGAGAGGAGGGAGGGAGATGGCGCTGGGGCAGAGAGGTGGCAAGGAAATCCTACAGGATGGTGTCACCTGGGAGTGAAGGGGGTCCCCTCCCAACAGCGAGGACCAGCAATCCATAGGGAATGGTGCTCGCTAACCTTGGAAAGCTCCATGCCAAGAGACTCTATTTCATCAAGTTTTTTTTCCGCCACCCCTGATCAAGTCATTCTGTCCATTACACTTAAACATTCTATCCAAGGAAAACTAGCTCCTGTTCATAAGCAGCAAAATCCAGAAAGAAAAACAAAATGCAAGGCTTTAGCCCTCCTTAATTAGGAGGAGAATTAGCACCAAATTACTTCCCTTCAAGCTTTCCTGGGTCTCAGGAGGCCCTTGCCTGCAACACCCAAGTATTCCCCAAATTGGAGAGGCGTGATCAATGAGCCAAAGGTGCCAGAAACATGTGCCGCCCGATCCTTTGAGGCCAGGCCATTAATCTCTGTCTAGTTTGGTAAATGAGCCAAAGAGAATGAGTTTCGAAATAAAGCTAACAAACCATGCCTGCCAGGAGTGTGCGACTACACGGCCCTCCACGGCAGGCCCCAGCTGGGGGGGGGGGCAAGCCTTGCCATCGCACAGGCCAGATGGCAGCACGGTAACAGCACTAAGTGGGAATGGCTTTGTTTAACTTAACAAGTACCACACACATCGCTGAATCCTTTTAACCACCATACAGCTCACATACTTGCACTATTTCCATTTTACAGATGTGAAACCTGAGGCCCAGAGCAGTTCCTGTTTTCTCCAGATTCTCTACAGTTTCTACAGTTCTTTCTCCAAGGACAGAGAGCCAGTGAGAGGCTTACTACTCTAGCTTGCCTCTCAAGGGAGGTTACAATATTTGTTCCCTTTCTAAAGCAGTAGCAAATGCACACAACTATCAAGCAAAATCAGCAGTCTATGGCTCATAAATAGCTCCCAGACTAACATAAAATAAGGGCGTGCAATTCACCCTTTAGAAACAGTCTATTCTAGGGAAATATTTATTATTATTATTATTATCATTATCATTATTATTTAAGTATTATTAACATAGAGTGTTGCTTTAGTTTCAGGGGAAACCTTTTATAGATCTCACGGTGACCTACTAGTGGAAAACTGAAGCACAGGGGTAAGGACAGATTCCTGAAATAAAAGGTCTCTTCGGCCATGGCTTCTGTCTTACGACTGATTAGCAGAGTTACCTCAGGTTTATAAGCTTTCAAGTAAGCTTCTCAAGAGCCTTTATCTTGAAAGGACAGACAGAACATAACTGTCCTAGATCAACTCACGGGGACATGAGTCACTAAATAGTTCATGAACTACGGCTCGAAGGAAGACTGCATCAGTTAACACAATCTCTTACCATCTCTAAACCACACTCTTGCCACCTGTAAAATGGGGATATTAACATTCTCTACCTCTTAGGGGTACTGTAAAAATTAAATAAGAGATATAAAACATTTAACACAATTCCACGTCCCACTGAGCATTCCATCAAGATGACAGTTCACCACTATCACCATCACCCTGCTCCTTCCTTCCCTTCACACTGCATCTCCCACGGCATAAAAAGCTAAGGATGGGAGTACAGTTTGAGGGATCCAGTGACACTGGGCTCATCAGAATTTTAATTCAAGCAACTGAAACTAATTAAAGGACTAAAGGAAAGGATGAAAACGGTTGATCTAAAGCCAACTTTTAGAGCAACAGGTTCTCAATTTTTAATAGCAGTCAAATATAAAAGTAACCACCTACCACCAATGTGTTGTCCAACCATGTTTTCACCACTAATTATGGGCCATCCACAATACCAAGCAGTTAGATGAATTGCTTTAATTCACCCTGAAGCCTAAGGGGCACTACCACCACCTCTACTTTATAGCATTATGTAGGTTAAGTAACGCTCTGAAGGTTACAAAGCTAACAAGTAGCAAACTCCTCTCTACTAGACTCTGTGCTTAACTACAACCTCATGCAACTTTCCTACTCAGTCCTCCTTTGGAGTGGAAAAAACCTTGGCAATTAACAAAGAACGGGAAAGAAGCTAGGCTGTAATTAAAGTGGCAACAATGCAACCATTATGTAAGAACAAAATTTCCGCCCAATTTAAACATAGCAGTAATTCTACCAACTTCCAATTAATACAAGTATAGCAATAATTGAAAACCACAACCAGCTTGAGACACTTTAGGGTGCCCCCAAAACATCCTTGCCTGAACCTCTGAGCATATACACAGACAACTTGCCAAGGACTGTGTGGTAGGCAGATTTCTCAGCACAGCACCACACCGGAATCCTTGTCTATCTCTATTAACAAGCTCAATTTAGAAACTAAGTGACGCTCCCAAGCAGTTACTAGTAATGCTACTCTGGTCTATGGAATGCCACTCAGTAACTGACAGGCAATTTTACATCAAGGGGATACATCCTTCCCGTCGTGGTCCACAAGCTGTATTTGAGAACACTTTGAGAAGAACTGTTGGAATCTAAAGCATGGAGAGTAAGCAGTTTCAACAGTTTTCAATTAGAAAGGATGTGTCTCAACAGTATCCAGAGGGGCCAGAGCTCTGGAGCCAGGTAGTGGCTCCCCATCCTCTTCAC